CACGTGATCGTAGCAACGTTGGAGGTCAACGTTTTAAATTACCTTTCATTTAACCAATGAGTCATTACTTATAAAAAATAATAAATTAAACATGAGAGGCTTAATTTCAAACCTTTTTGAATTCATAAGCATTGCAGGTATAATGTACCTGCAACCTTTCTTGGTATTTATTCTATCTTGTCCTAGGTAAACAGTTATCTTTGAATACTTGCAATAGGCATTTTATAATGACCTGCCTTCTTGTGCTCCGTTTACCTGAATTTTCAATGTTAAAATTTCTATTGCAGCTTCAAGCACACAAACAATAATTTATTATTGTTTGTAACCCAGGATATTTCGAAATAGTAAATAAATAAATTTATCATGAAGTGGTATCTGGTAATGGGTAGATAAAAACGATAACTAGAACAAGTTTGTAAACTGTAATTAAACAGGGTAATTGCGTTACCTTGGCTTTGAAAAAATATAATTAAGACATACTGATTTCCTTTTAGTGATTGCAGACATTCCATAAATGCATTTCCGGTAATAATAGATCATTCCAGGGACAGATTTTATTATTGAAAATATAAAAATTCAGACAATTTTGCTTAGAATTATATAGCAAGCTGAAAGAATTTTCATCAATCCAATCAGGAAAATTAAAGATCATTATCGATCGGGCAAGCACCCAGCAACAGCCTTTTGCATTGGGTACCATCAAAAAAATTTAAGAACCGTTATGGTAAGCGAACGAGGTTAGTCATACCTATCTAGCTAGATAGGCACAAAGAGGAGTGTACTTTAGTTGGTATTCTCAGCTTGGTTCGATTATAAAATAAAATTGAACCCGTACCCAGTTGATATTCCAAATGGCCTTAAAATCTAATTACCGGGTATTTAATTTAAAACATAATTGTGTATAAATGACTCACTGTTACTCATCTCTAACGGAAATTTATAAATACTAGACACTAATTATTGTTTGAATGTTGAGTTGAGTGTGAAATTTCAATTACAAACAACAAAAATTCGATATTTTTATTAGTCATGGTCCATCATGTAGGTGAACTAGTATTAAATACAGAATACTGTATTATAAAATACAGGTTTGGCCAAGCACGCCTACGCTTCACGAATCGGGTAACAGTGCGGTTGTACATTATGTAACAACTGCAAAAAGTATTTTCACATCTTTGTTACTTGTTTGAAAAGTTGGTTGAGTTTCACTTTTTCTGAGAAAAAAATGGTTTCAATGTAGGTTTCGTTGTTAATTATTCTTAAGGCAGCGTGATGGTATTATAATGAATCGATTATTTAGTGTAATGAATTTCCAACCAATGTGTGTGTTATTTGAATCTCATGAAGAATCGACTCATTGGTTACTTTTTATAGGGTTTTTGTTTTATTTTAAAAAGAAACTTTCTCCCTATTGATATTATTGTAATGATAAGAGATGTGTTTAATCCGTGAACACACCTTTACTTAACCAAGAGCCCATCTACTGATAAATATGTTCAGCAACTAATCAAAAACAAACACAAATGGTCTAGATAAAAATTACTATCTGCCAGGCCTAATAATTTATAACTGTGTTCAGGAGAAAATTGAAAATTGCCTTGGCTTCAGTGAACAAATTATTATGTAGGTCACGAGAAATATGGCATAAAAACTTATTACAATACAGGGTGTAGAAAAAAAGCATTGCAAATCAAGTTCATGGACATATAGAACGATTGCACACTTTCGCTTGCTGGAAGTATACCATTGTACGTAACTAAATATGGCAGGCTTTCGATTTTTTCCAATCATGACAATTAAATGGATAGTTCTCACATTATTTTGCAATTATCGACATAACAGTGACTTGGTAATTGCATATTGGACGATGCTAAACAGCTTGTAGATTGGTATTTAATTTGAGAATGATTATTTAATGATTTTTTTTTATCATAATGCAATGCTTGTATTGGTAATCTCTAATTCATCAGAGGGATCCATTTTCCGCATATCCTTGAATTTAATCTTCATTTGTGCACAAAAGGTTCTATTTACTCCACCTGACTGACGATAAATTGACTTATCTTTAGGCAGTAAAAATATCAATGTATAGATTATTATTATTAGTGATAAGAAATATATTAAATAGCTCGTAAATAGGATTGAATTTTTAGTAAATTCAAGGGTATTCAAGTCACACTGGTAGGTTTGGTGGAGAAATTTTTGACCCTCCATTAAATTTCCTAGCAGCTTTTGTCTTCCCTAAACTGTCAAATACGAAGGGGGAACAACTGGACCAACATTTGTACATTTATTGCGCATTACATGCTTTTTCAAAGTAATTCCGATAATTTCAATGTTATACCATCGTACTGCCATCATTTTTGCCATCATAATGGCAGTAATTTCAGTAATGCCATTATGGTATATGTACCTACCTATATTAGGCTACATCCAAAAGTTTTACCTCGAGCTTTCCGTTACTGGACAAGAAAAATAAACCAGTATACTTGAAAACAAACATTTCATCCTATAGAACTTCCATGACCAGTCATCCTATAGTTTGATTATTTATTGCTATTATTCTATAGGTACCTACTTACTTTTCTAAAGCCAGGTTTATTCATCTTTCAAGTATAATTCTATTGGTCGGTGGATAACTGGCCGACCAATAGGATTACATATTGCGCTTCTATCCATCAGATTTCATACCTGACAGTATATCAGAAGGCGAATAAACTGGCCCTAAATCTGAATAAAATGAAAATGCCAATTAATTTTGTAATTTATTTCACCTCAGGTTTAACTTGTTTTCTCCACATATTGGTAGAGTTTTCCAATGGTTAGAATTTTATTAGTTTATTAATCATTATAGGTTAATATTTTATCTCTGGATTTATCCTGGCTCAACAGTTGAAATCGTTCTGATCCAATGATTTTTATTGCTTCATAAAAAATGTAGGCCTTGTCCTACAGATTATACGTCATTGTCGTAAGGCCATATGAAATTTTCCAGATCATTTTCAAAAAATTTAATTATGTAGTCAATATTGGAGTTGTAGGGTTAACAAGAATTTATAAATTATAAACAATTTTACATACACAGGGTGAGCCAGAAAACAGTTGCAATAGATTATTTAGGTATTTGTTTTAAATGAGACACCCTATATATTATGTCATTTTGGATTCTACGCAAAAAAAAAAATGTTATTTTTTCATCAGCTATCTGATAATGGTGGTACCCATGGTGGTCTTGATGATGGTACTATGGATACCAAATTAGTACCATCATCATAAGAACCTTTGAGTAACTTTCAAGTAGTCAAGTTAGGACAGGAAAGTGAAACTCGGTTTCTCCTATCTTCAGTTGTTTTCTCACTAACCTCACTGTAACTGGATGAAAGTAGATAAAATGCTGATTTTCAATTGTTTCTAGCCTAAAAACACATTATACATAAAATGTTTCTAGAATTTTGCCTAGACCTGCAATAGAAAAATGACATAAGGTCTGTTCTCACAGAAATCCCAAACCAGAGCGTTTTTGATTGGTGCAAATCACTAACAACAGCAACATGCTATGGTTGACCGAGGTGCGAAGCGCCGAGGTCAACCAATTCTCGAGACAATAATGTGGAAACTTTCCACCAAATTATGTATACTATTTTATTTTGAACCAATAATTATTGAAAAAAATAAGGTAAAAATATGACAAAAGTGGAATTTCGACTGACAGCCTGATACCGACATTAACATCTTATAAAATTTGAATAATATAAACACATGTGACATCTATTTCTAAATACAAACATTGCTCCTGGATTTGTGTTTAGGTATGAAAGAACAATTTATCAGGGCCAAAAGTGACTTCTCCAGGCCAAAAGTGACTTTTCCAGGCCGAAAGTGACTCGAAAACAGTCACTTTAGGCCTGCTTTAAAGTAAACAAAAGTATAGTGGCATTTTCGAACCTCCAAACCAGTAAGGAATGTGAAAATTACATACCTATATGGTTCAAAATAAAATTATTTATTCGGTTCGAAAATGTCACTTTACTTTTGTTTACTTTAAAGCAGGGAAAGTGACTGTTCTCCTGTCACTTTCACCCCGGAGAACTCACTTTCGGCCCTGATAAATTGTTCTAAACACAAATCCAGGTGCAATATTTGTATTTAGAAGTAGATGTCACATGTGTTTATATCGTTGAAATTTCATAAGATGTCAATGTCGGTGTCAGAGTGTCAGTCAAAATTCCATTTTTGTCATATTTTCACTTTATTTTTTTTTCAATAATTAATGGTTCAAAATAAAATAGTATACATAATTCCGTGGAAAGTTTTCGCATTATTGTCTCGAGAATTGGTTGACCTCGGCGCTTCGCACCTCGGTCAACCATAGTATCTCTCAATAAAAATGAAACACTTTCTACCTCCGCATGTAATATACTATTTCATTCTATAGATACACAAACTTACTCAAACTTGTTTTTATTACTGGGGATGGTAATATGAATATGATCTCGCAGTGAATGTTTGGAAAATCCGAGGGTTGAAGATCAACCGTAACTCCATTGAATGCAAACGTAATTCCGCGATATTCGTAGGTAATGCCAGCATAATCCCTGATAGTACTGAGTAATATCTCATGGTATAAGAGTAATGCCACCGTAATGCCAGTAACTCCGCAGTAATGCCAGTAACTCCGCAGTAATGCCAGTAGTGTGTCGTAGTGCGCACGTAATACTTTGTAATGCAATAAAATTTGTACATGTATTGCCACCAGTTGTTACCCCCTCGGTCAAATATACGCAAGGAAATCTTGAACCATAGTGAAGATTATAGATTTCAGATGGAATTTGGCCATATTGAATTTTGAGTCTAATAAATGACTGCAGAGCAAGCTTTCTTGTCAATAGCTAACTCAACTAAATTTGAATTAATTGTCGAATTCTATAGAAGAAAGGCCACATTCTTTCTTGAAGTTATTTTATCGTTATTTGTATTGACAAATCAATTCTTGTTTCCAGACTCTCCAGCATGGTTTCCCTCACAAACCTTCAGCCCTGGGCTGGGACGCTTCCTTCCGCCTTCTCTGCATCGGCACGGCGACCGGCGCAGTCAAAGTCTTCGGCCAACCAGGAGTTGAGTTTTACGGGCAACATCAAAATCCCATCCCCGTAACCCAAGTCTTGTTTTTACCTGGAAAAGGCAAAGTTGTCACCTTGCAGGATGACAATTCTTTGCATCTATGGGAGGTAAGTAAATACTAAATAGTAATAACACTTACAAAAAAAAAATTAAAATATAATTTTGTAGGTTAATAAAAGTTCCTTGGTAGAAGTGAAATCCCAAGCCTTAGAAGGCAAATTAAAGAAAATCAGCAATATGTGTTTGGAAACTGCTGGCAAACATCTATTGCTAGGCACTGAAGGAGGCAACATATATTTGCTCGATTTATCAACTTTCACAATGACTCCTGATATTATTTATCAAGATGTTGTAATGCAAAATGTGCCCCAGGACTACAAACTCAACCCCGGAGCAGTGGAAGCTATTCTAGAACAACCCGGGCAACCGAACAATATTCTGATAGGCTACAATCGTGGCTTAATGGTTTTATGGAACCGTTCAGACAATATTGCTTCGAAAACATTTATTTCCAATCAACAACTGGAAAGTTTATGTTGGAAAGACGAGCAGCATTTTTTTAGTTCTCATAATGATGGCAGCTACATGGAGTGGGATATAAATCAATCAGAAAAACCTTGTGGAGAACCAGTATCGCCTTACGGGCCTTATTCCTGTAAAGCCATTCCAAAAATCATGACCAGAGAATGGGAAGGAGAGTCTTTGATCATTTTTTCCGGTGGGCTTCCAAGGGCAAATCATGGAGACAAATATTCAGTTTCAGTTATTTATGGTGAAGATGAGCATGTTGTATTCGATTTCACTAGCAAGGTAAGAATTCAGTTGTTTTAGCTTTGCAAATGTTTGAATTTTTTGCTAATTTCATTTGAATTTGATTGTCTATTTGTTGCCGCTTGCCTATAAATCTTGCTTTACCTACTCTTCATTTTATTAAAATAAATGATATTCTCTTTGTGACAGATCGGAAGTGAAATAATTGATAACGAATGTGAGGAAGACATTTACGGCAATAAGGTATAATAAACTAAACAACAAGCAAAGGTTTTGTTATTTTTTCGTACTTGCATGGGCGTTTTTTTAAAAATTTTACTTCCAATTTTTTGTAAATGTCGTGTTTTGTATGACCTAGATAGCATGGGTTAACATGATTATTATTGTCTGTTTTGTATTTTTAACATTTTTATTTGTGTTGGGTTTTGACTCATAACAATTTTTTATAAAGTAAATCAAAAATCCTTTGGATGGATACATGTTATTTATAGCTGGGAATCAATTCCTATGATCCATTTTACCAAAAACAAATAATTTCTAGGTAATAGATTTCATCCTAATCGATTCCAATGGAAATGCTGCTGATGAAAGCACCGACAATGAAAGTGCAGAAAATCACGAAAACAACGAAATCCCTTTAACCAATGGCAGATCTGGTAAATGGCAACCAGAAGCTCTTGTGGTTTTAGCAGAAGAAGAGCTGGTAGTCATAGATTTGCAATGTCCAGGCTGGAAAATGGTGAATTTGCCCTATTTAGTTGCACTACATTCCTCAGCTGTCACTTGTAGCCAATACGTTTCCGATATTCCGGAATCGCTATGGGAAACTTTGAAAGATGCTACAAAAGCTCAAACAACAAGCACAGACTTTTCTGAGCGATCTTGGCCTATTGATGGTGGAAAGTTGTTGTGTTCAAAAGGTTCCTTGCTAAAAAGAGATTTACTTATAACAGGCCATGAAGATGGTACTGTTAAATTTTGGGATGCAGGTGGCGTTACTCTAACTCCAGTCTACAAATTTGCTACTGCCCAATTCTTCACTGGAGACGATCTGGATGAAGCCCCTCCAAGTCAAGACCCAGACGACGCCGAAGACGAATGGCCACCATTCAGAAAAACTGGAATTTTTGATCCTTATTCCGATGATCCACGTTTAGCTGTCAAACGAGTGGTTCTGTGTCCACTTTCTGGAACATTGGCAATTGCTGGTACAGCTGGGCAAGTGATTATTGCCAAATTTGATACCGAAGTGCTTGAGGGACCTTTGAAGGTGGTCACAATGAATATTGTGAGTGACAGGGACGGGTTTGTTTGGAAGGGCCACAGTCAATTGGCACCAAAAACTGGTAATAATTTCTCTGAAATTATCAAATAATGAAAACTAAACATAGCATAGGGGGAATTCATAAGAATCGTGCACTTTGTGCCAAGTTTTTGAAATTTGGTATAGTCTTAAGTTTTTAAAAAACTATCACAAGCAACTTGTGCGCGGCCTCTGGTGGCCTCTTAGCTATAAATCGAATATGGCTGCAATCTGCATGAGATTCTCTTCTATAAGACACAAAATCTTCAGTGATACCACTTTTTAGGGGTTAATTATCATTCTCCAACTGTCCACATATAATTTGTTCAGTGTTGCCGTTGATATTCACAGTTTTTGTAGCTCTTACGGTGATGGACCTTGGATTTTTAGGTTTGGACTTCTTCAATGTCAAATTTCAGGATGTTGAGCTAGTTGTCGTCCGTCCATACCCAAAATAAGCTCATCCTCTGTATCAGCATTCAGCTCTTTGTGATAGATTTTGATATTTCCTAAGCTCACAAAAAAAATATTGAAATTTCATTGTTTTAGTAACAAGGTCCCTACCTTATGATTTAGATTTTGGAAAACTTTGATAGGTCATAACTTTTTTTCTATTATAGATAGAAAGCTGAAACTTTCACTGAATTTTATCCCAATCAAGGGACTACAATCCCTGAAAATTTCAGCTCATTCGCACTTATAGTTCCTGAGATAAAATCGTGTTAAGCAATTTGGGGTGATTTATCAATTTTTCAATTTTTCTGAGTGCCTTCCTTTTTTCATAGATTTTGGCTTCAAATATGAGAATAATTTAGTGTATGGAGTTTGGGGTATGTTGATTGACCATAAGGATACAAAATCTCGACAAAAAAAAATTGAAATTTCATCGTTTTAGTAAGAAGGTACCTACCTTATGATTAAGATTTTGGAAAACTTTGAAAAGTCATAACTTTTTTTCTATTGTAGATAGAAAGCTGAAATTTTCACTGAATTTTATCCCAATTTCAGCTCATTTGCACTTATAGTTCCTGAGATAAAATCGTGTTAAGCAATTTGGGGTGATTTATCAATTTTTCAATTTTTCTGAGTGCCTTTTTTCATAGATTTCGGCTTCAAATATGAGAATAATTTAGTGCATGGATCATTATCATATGTATTATTCACAGCTGTTTGCTATAAAGCCAATATGGCCTCCAGAGGTCGTGCATGGTTTCCTAAAACCTTAAGACCATACCTCAGACTATACCAAATTTCAAAAACTTGGCACAAAGTGCACGATCGTTATGAATTTTCAATAATTCCAGTTCTGCTAACGCAATCAATCTTTAGGCAATATTCGTCAAGTGCGAGGTTTCCAAGCGACTACCCTATTACAACTCCACCCTCCAGCAGCCGTAACCTGTGCAGTACTACACGCCGATTGGGGTTTAGTAGCAGCAGGTACTGCTCACGGTTTAGCCCTTCTGGACTACATCAAAAACAAACCTGTGGTAGTCAAATGTACGCTCAATCCAAATGATCTCACTGGGCAAGGTGACGCCCCAATTTCGCGCAGAAAATCTTTCAAAAAGTCGCTCAGAGAATCGTTTAGGAGACTCAGAAAAGGACGATCGACCAGGCATGCTAAGGAAGACAAACAAACACCGCCAGCACCAGTTAGAAAAACACCAGTTAGTGAGCAAGGCGATATTAATCCTATAGAAGCAAAACCTGTGGAAAGGCAAATTGAGGCTAGACCAGTTGAGGATTCTATTGGTTCGTTTGTTAGATGCTTATATTTTGCGAGGACTTTCCTTATTAATGGTAAGAATTTTTTTTTTTTGGTTTTGCTTGGGTTTATTGTTGTTTTTTTTTGCATAGTACAAAACACAGTTCCAACTCTTTGGGCAGGCACCAACAATGGGACAGTGTACGCTTTCACCATAATAGTACCATCCGCATCTAAAAGAGAAACTGATGATGTAGCGTGTCATTTAGCCAAAGAAATTCAATTAAAACACAGGTAGAGTAAGTGTAGGATAGAATTCTCACAATCAAATAATAATTTTTTACGTAAATTAAATGGTAAATATTGATAGGGCGCCAGTAATAGGAATAGCAGTGCTTGATGGCTCCAGTAAACCCCTACCAGAACCTTTGGAAGTGGAAAAAGGTGTGGCGCCATTACCTGACACTACGCAAGTGCATAGAGTCATAATAGCTTCAGAGGAACAATTCAAAATTTTCACTTTACCATCTTTGAAGCCTTATTGTAAATATAAATTGACCGCTCACGAAGGTAAGGATTTTTAGAGGTAATATTTACTTAAAAAAGATGAAACATAATAAATGATTTAGGTGCAAGAGTAAGAAGGATGGCTTTCGCAACATTCTCCTGTACGATAGCAGAAGACAACTCAAAACATTCCGAAGTGGATCTCCTGTGCCTTACCAACATGGGCGATTGTGTAGTTTTGAGCATTCCTGATCTAAAACGACAATTAAATGCGGCCGCTGTTAAGCGAGAAGACATCAAGTAAGAACTACTTTCAAAATGAATAAATGTCTATTCTAATTTTTTTTATAGTGGCATATCATCACTAGTTTTTACAAAGACTGCAGAGGCCCTTTACCTACATTCGTCTTCGGAATTGCAAAGGATATCTTTGTCAGCCACTGCAATAACACAAGCAAGGTAAATACATTTTTAGGATGTTAATATTTTTTTGAATAAACATCTTTCTTTTAGATGTTACTTGCCAGTACCAAGTACTGAAGACGCAGTCTCAGAAAATGAGGAAAATATCAATACAGAAGAGGCCACAGAACCCCCTTTAGTTAATGGCACTGTGGAAACTGGTGGACTAGAAAAAGTAAGCTTTAGATGAGTTAAAAAAAGTAAAACTAATATTTTTTTATTGGCTATAGGTAGATGAACTTCCAGAAAATGGCCAAGAAACTCCACACAATGTTACAGTATCAAGCAGCGTAGGTGATATAACCATTGACAGCGTAAAAGATCACAATCTTGGTTCAGGTAAAAAAAAAAAACTAATTTTGCTCAAACATCAGATTCATCTTGTGTTGTATTCATATTATGCATCAAATGTTGTGTTGTTGTTACCCGATTTTTAGGCGAAGAATTGAGCCGGAGGATCAGTGGTCTACAAGTGACTAAAACTGTAACCACAATCATTAGTAGTAGTAGTAATAGTCAAGGCGAAGAAGTGACTAATAGTCAAACTGTTACAACTGCAACCACAACGTCAACAGATTCGGAAAATAGTAAGTAAAAAATAATCTTGAAAGAAATTTTCTTCCTTTCAAGGTTGATTTTGTGCTTTTGAGTTTGTTATTTGTGGTACAAAATTTGTTATAAATTTACCACAAATAGCATCTATGCTTTTTTGCTTCTGTTTATTCATAATTTCATTTTTTTGTATTATATTTTTTGTGGCTTTAAATTTTTTGTTCTTTGCTTTGTAGTCATAGAAAATCATGGCCAAGGAAATGGACTCCGTTTAGAGGTTAGACATTATCAAAAATATTTTACTATTAAAATTTAGTCTTGTAACTTGTTGAGGTATCAGTAGTAACATTTTGTAATTCATGCATGTAATGGTAATTTTTTTTTAATGTTGAGGTAAGTAGTTTTTGGTTAAACTCGGTTGGCAGGATTTTTGGTAAGGTTTGGTTGGAAATAGGCACAATAAATAACACAAATTTGCTATGGTAATCACTGTTATATCATAGAAGAATGACAAATATCAAAAACTTTTCTGTAAAATGTTTGTCTTAATTATCATTGTGGGATTCATGAAGAACTTCCTGTTAAACGAATGAACGAATAAAATCACCACCAAAAATAAACTCGAAAACGCATCTATTGGATAATATACAATTCACTTATGGTGGGTTCTTCACAATGAATATCAATTCCCTACCGTGCATGCTTAAACAAAACATTGACAATCTATTTTTTTTTACATTATAAGTATTTAGCCTATCCAAAACACGTGACTTTGACAAGTAAAATATAGCCGGAAAGGGTATGTGTGCCTCTTGGCGGACATTTTAATTTAAGTTTGGCAGCATCTTGGATCCTCTAGGTAGGTTTTTGACAATCGATATGCATTTTCCTGAAAAGTTTTTGGGGCACATTATTACTCACCTAATTTTCACACATAAAACTCAAAATACATACCTGCTTTGCATTTGAAAACGAACCACCCTTGATGTTTCCCTATTGTCAATAAGATCAATAGCTCATGTGATTGGCTGCTTGTTGAAAAGATTTAGCATAACAAAACAAGGTGTAGATTTGTTATTTTAAGGATACGTTTAGTAAGGAAATTCAAGTAGTTTGCAGTTTAAATAAAATATGGTGGTTCCTTTTCAAACAAAATAAATACCCAGTTATTTACCAGTTTTGTTATTTACAGACTAAAAAGAGCATCCATGCAAGTGACATATTATTACGAGCTCCACTAGCTTTGGCAGAAGAGGATGCTGAAAATAACCATGTTGCAGAATAATGGTTAAATGAGAAACATATTTTGGCCATATTTATTTTCTATTAATATTAGTAGAAAAATAACCTCCGTTTATTTCTTCCCATTGGCGATATATCATAATTTATGACCTAAAACGATTTTGTGCCTTAAAACGTTCTGTTAAATCCAATTAAATTAGGACCAATGTTAGTATTATTTTTGTACTTAGAATTTAACTATGTTGCCTAGATCAACTTTATACTGCTTATATTTTGCAAAATTTCAGCTTTGCAATTTTATATATATATATGTATCTACTTACTTAATGCGTTTTTAGTTTGTAAGACTTACCTCTATTTAGGCCTTTTCATATTATGTTACTTTTATGTCCAAGCAGCTTTCTTCTATATAAAATAAGGTGGAGGTTTTCATGTTTTTGAATGTGTGCATATGCGCGAATGATCGAGTGTACTTAGAATAATTATAATAATTAGTAATCAATTTTAGGGCCTTAACTTTTGTTAATATTTTTTATATCCATAATTATCATTAAAAGTTTTTTTTAATATATTTATAATTATTATTATTTTTGAGTTTTATGTTGAAACATCACTGGAGTGAATATACATTTTATTGGTCTTTTTAATTGTTGCAGTTTCATTATCTACTTATTTAGTTATTTAATTATCTAAATACATACATTTGAAGTTGTCAAGACCCTCATAGAACTTATTTATATTGGCAGATATTCTATTAACAAGACTGAATAGTAAGTACCAAGTCGGACAGTAAGGAATGTGGCGTGAAGATTTACTTCGTGTCTGATAACTCTGAGTGTGTAGATAAAAGCATCCAAGACATTCGTGGCTTTTTATGTAGTATCTAGTTAAGGATATTCAGAAATTAAAATTTATAATTTAGAATAGGAATATGTAAATAAGAAAAGGGAAATTTAATTCCAGAAAATGTAAATTGTAATTCAGATCTGCCAAATTTGAAAATCGGAAATAGAGAAATGTAATTCAGAATTGGTAACATCTAATTCAGAATCATGAAATATCTATGAGTGTGATTTTTTCCAATTTTTTTTATCTTGTGTCGCTAAATACGGGATTGCTATCCCCGTTTATTAATTTATTGTCAGTAGAGTTTTACATAATAGTTATTTTTGTATCTAAAGTTCATTTCATGGAACGAGATAGTGGAAGTAAACAAACCTGGACAGTTAAGTCGAATTTTATTGGCTAGAAAAGGATTATACTCCGCCCTAGGCAGGACCGTCTTAGGTTGTTTTGCATATTTCTTCTCTAAATATATTTCCGAACGAATTCTTCAGCGGAATCTGTTGAACTTGATATTGTTTTAATCTAAATTGCTCACTAATTAACAATAATTCACCAAACACTATTTAAATATTTGTAAAATACTAGGAAATACGTCATTAAACTTATTGACTCATATGACAACCTGACAATAATAAATGTCATTAGTTGTAATTCATATTTTTGCAGTCCTTCTCTGAATTCTTAAGCTCCGCCTGTTTGTTTACCTCTACTATCTCGTTTCGTGGAATGAACTTTATGTAGTGGTGTCCCCTACCTATCTTTGGTGTTTAGGTATTGTTGAATTCATGATAGAGTTTGAATTTTGACCGTTATTTTCACCAGTTGAAAGTAAATAATATCCTTTTGAAAATAATGATACATGACATTTCGATTTAACACATAAAAATATCAGATTCGGGTCTTTGAATTTTGAATTTCGAATTTTTGTGTGAAATCGTTTCAGATTTTTGCCGTTAAAAAGTTACTAGAAATGTCACCGCTAACTTCACTTTCTATCGTGATTTCAACTATATGTGTTTTCGGTCCATTGAAGGTGTGTTATTTTTGACAGTCGATATAAAATGACGTCTTTTTGTTTCAGGGACTGCGAGCCCGAAGGGCCGGAGTATTTATAATTACGAGCCCGTAGGGCGAAAGTATTTTTGATTGCGAGCCCGAAGGGCCGGAGTTTTTATAGTTTCTCGCCCTACGGATTTGAAATCTAAAAAACTCTCGCCCTATGGACTTGACAAATGAAAGAATCAACTTTGAAGCTACGCAGCTGCAAAACTATACAAGCTGCATCAAAACTTCAAATTAGTGATTTGTAGAGGATTCAATTGGCTTCAATTGAAGCCTAATTACGTTAAAATCGGTTGACAATTGACATAATAATGATTGTAGTCAGTTGTACAGATGTAGGTTTCTTGAGAATTTTCATTGTTTCCGGTTCTTGATTAGGCGCTAAAAATCACATTTTGAATATTCCCGCTTTTTGATTAGCTTTAAATTATTCGCCGACCAATAGACTCATGGGCTGGGCGACGGCCCTCCGGGCTCGTGATTAAAATAACCCCAGCCCTTCGGGCTGGTATAACTCCGACCCTTCGGGCTCGCATAACCTTGGCCCTTCGGGCTCGAGATTTGAAAAAAACATATGGCAACATTGCTCATGACACAACAAACGTCAAAAAATTGACCTTACAAAGTAGGCCTTGTTTTCTTTGACATAGTCGATACGTTTTTTTGTTGCCTTGTGGGCTCAAGGATGATACACACTACTACTACAGGATAGTCTATCCTCATAAAGCCTATGTGGAACAAATTTCCCCTCTTCCTCCATGCTAAATCACCAATTATGACGTAGACAGCATGTTATTTCTCGCCTTGACGTACTGACGTAGGCTGTTTAAACAGCTGACGATTTAGAACGACGTCGAAAATGGTGGCACACCAATATGGCGATGATTACCAAAATGATTATTCAAAAACTGTACATAGGATTATTCGTACTAACAGGGAAGGTTGAGGGGGTTATCAGAAACAGGGTGATATAAGTACTCGATCGACCTACATTGTGTACATCATTTTTATCGAAGTGTGTCGACGAGTCAGTAGTTATTTGGTATTAATACCACGCCGAGATCATTTACCAGCAGACTAAGGCTAATGCAAAGTACCTCAATTGGGAAAAACCCCTCTAGCTAATGTCTCCTCCCACTGCAAACTAACTTTATGGGAAACACCCCTTCTGGGAGTATTGAACGCAACAGACTATGTCCAGTCCAAACTATCTTTATTGGGAAACACCCTTCTAGACCTGTCTCAAACCCAGCTTCAGTATTCAGTCACGCCAAGTGTACAGAGTGTACATAAAACAGAGTGGCCTAAGTAGTACGTTCCTCCATAGAAGAGACGTCATGGTATTATTCCTAGGGTAATATTATTCTATTTTATCAATACATATCTTATTGTACTTAAACCAAGCAAGTTTCTCTCTATCTCAACCTCACCTACGCCCCCAGGGGGTCAATTCTCGAATATTCTGGAACAGCCAAAGTAGGGTAAAAATCCTAGGTAAAATGGTGTTTAGTCTATCTGAAGGAACAAAACAAATTTTTAGCCTTACAATTTATTTTGTTTCACACATAAATTACTATACAACGCTTAAATAAATATTTACAAAATAGGTATAAAAAGGGATGAAAATAAAATTACAAATATTTTGGTTTATTTTTACCAACATAATTAAAATTTTAGCACCATGCATTAATACACATTTAGGTACCTGGTGAGTCAAATAAAACTGAGAAGTGAGTTTCTACTACAACTATGTAGAGCCCACCTGGTATATAAATATGTTTCTTTGGATACAAAATTCTCTACACTAAACATCAAACAAAAATCACAGTAGTATATAATTATTATGTACAGCTTTTTGTACTTTGTCACAATTCCGTGGTAATTTCGTCCTGAGGCCTGTACCCTAGCTTGTAGAAATCGTCTTCTAAAAACAATGGAGACCCGCTCACAAACTCCTTACTATTCTTCCACGCCATCGGATTGAATTCTGATGACGTATTCCCCACCAAGGAGTATTCAAATTTCCATTCGGGACTCAAGTTTTGATATTTTTCTTGGTACCCTTTGACCAAGGTACTTTGAAGACTCAACGATGAACCTCCGAAAGGTTGGTCAGGTTTAAAGGTGCTCATTGTAGTGCTGCCTCTTACAGAGTATTCTGGTTCATCAGGATCACTGGGTATAATTGGTGATTGTAAAAAGTGAATGAGCTGGGCTACTTGCGGCTGACTTGAGTCGCTCATTCTTTTGTAACGTTTCAAGGCTTTTTCTGCCCAATTAAACAAATGCTCCCAGTCGTCTGGTATTGATAAATTCTCTACAGGTTTATTTAAAAGTAAGAGAATTTTCGCTAAATCCCTTACAACAGGCTTGTAGGCTGCAATAGCACTATTATCGCCTTCCTGGTGCAATTGTCTTATTTGCTGCCTTGTTTCATTAAGCATATCTAAATAACATTGGGAATAAAACCTTAATGTTTCCAGTTGCTTGATAAAATCCTTTCTTTCAGGAGTATCGGTATCAGTTTCAGAACTGGTATCGCTAGTAAACGTTGCATGTTTTCTTTTAAACTTTACATATAGAATTGCAATGAAAAAGGCTACAAAACACATTGATAGGCCTGCTACGATTCCTGCAAGGATGGTTAGAGTGTTCGAGGAGAAGCCCAGAAAATTGCCATTGTGACTGCAAACTCGTCCCATGAAATCGACCATTGTGCTCCAGCTTTCTGTGTAGCCCAAGGGGCAAGTGTTTACGCATTTTCGTGACGGGTTCACTATGAGTTTGGGGCACTTTTCACAGCCGTTTGGTCCGCAGTGGAGACAGGCAGGTTCCAATGGACAACCTGGAACAAAATAAGGAATAATGTAAGTAGATTTTTGATTTGTAATATTATGAATTTCAAGTTTTTTGTTTTATTTATTTTTTTGTTTGTTATTTAATTGTATTTGTATTTATCTGTGAATGGTTGTGGTGAGGGAGGGGCGAGACTTCGCAGCACGTGGCTAATCTGAACTTTCTCTGTACTCAATGGGTCTTTCTTGCGTTTTTGAGGATCGGGTACCAAATTTGGTTGTTTCAGTGTTTCTCCTTTCCTGTTGAGGTTCTCCGTATGTTTGTGGATTTCTATACCTTCACGTGCAAGACGATTGTGGTAAGCAAGCAACCGACTTTTAGATACCACAATCATCTTGTACGTGAAGCTATAAAAATCCACAAACATACGGAGAACTTCAACAAGAAAGAAAAAACACTAAAACTTAACCAAATTTGGAACCCGATCCTCAAAAACCCAAGAAGACCCCATCGAGTACAAAGAAGGTTCAGATTAGCCACCTGCTGCGAAGTCCCGCCCCTCCCTTGCCGCAACCACTGACACATAAATACAACTTGCGGTCGAAAACGCGTCAGTCTGCTGGACATAGAAGCACCTCTTAAGGCAGCATTACACGGCGTGTGGAGTGGCGCGCCTGGCGCATGAACTGGAACCCTACACGCCATGTGAAGAGTCAGGCGCGGCAAATTTCGCATCGTCTGACTGCGACCACACGCTAGCCTGACATCTCACATTTCCCGGGCCATAGGCGTGCCACTGCAAACGCCGTGTAATGCCGCCTTTAAAGGTTTGGACACACATGACCGCACCATGTCCGTACCGAGACATGGCCGTGTCTCGCTGATGAATTGTACCGTGTTTTCTTATGTCGTAGTCTTCACATCTACGCACCGCGCCCTGGTGGCGCCACTGCACCGCGTCCGTACCGTGCGAGATAAGTTTGGTTTAATTTTTCACGGGAACGGTGTGTTGCAAGACGGACTCTCAGAATTTTCTCGCCCTTTAGAAAACTCGCCTCCGGCTCGTTTTCTAATATAGGGCTCGTGCGATAAAATGACGTCTTATGAAACTTGTATTTTAATGTACTATTTTTGATGTGAAATTATTTTTGTAAAAAATTACCAGTGACGTTCGTACCAGATTTCTATGGAATATTGTTCAAGAAAAAAATGGTGCGCCACTGCTTTTTCCTGAAAAAAAAATAATTTTTGAAATTCCTATTCAATTTAGAACAAATTTGATCTCTTCACTTTTTTCCGAAAGATTCACCGTTTTCAAGTAAAAAAATAAAGAACCATTTTGATACGTGGCGAAATTGCCAAAATTATGATTAAAATGCTAAACATTAAACACCTAAATCCTATTGGTCGGCCAGTTATCCGTCGACCAATAGGATTATTGATTGGAAAATTTGTCTTATAGATAAGTAGGTATAGGGTCACTTGAGTCTGGGAACTTTTTCGATACCGTGGGAAAATCAGTGGTGCCTTTGAAGGTGAGCCAAACCCAAATTTCGGGAATTTCGTTGGTTTTGTTCTGGACTTATGCTGGTTTTAATCTAAATTTTGCTGGTTTTGTTCTGGATTTTGCTAGTTTTGTTCTGGGTTTTGCTGAGTTAGTTGGTTTTATGCTGGTTTTCACTGGTTTCAAACTAGTTTTATGCTGGTTTAGCTGATTTTCACTTTTTTCAAGCTGTTTTTACTGGGTTTGTGCTGGTTTCAAGCTGGTTTTGCTGGATTTATGCTGGTTTCCTGTTGGTTTTCCCCCGGAATCGAAAAAGTTCCCAAGCTCAAGTGATCCTATACCAATGACATATAGCCCGGAGGATAACGGAAACTATGTGGCTATTAGGTATACAAGTATGAAATTTGGCACCCACATTCTTAAGGCGATTTTAAGAGATTTCAGTCGAGTCCCCAAAAAATTCCTTCATGGAGTGGGGAGCTTCCGCCATTTTTTAAAAATGGCCGACTTCATTTTTTGAAATATCGTAAAATGGCTTATTTGTCAAAAAAAACCCATTAGGAATATTTTTTGACTTTATATAAAGTTTACAAATATTTCACACTTCTAGAAAATGGCGTCCGACGACTACAGTAGCTCTTATTCAAGATGGCTGCCAACTTACATAAAAATCTAAACTAGCCCGGAGGATAACGGAAACTATATGGCTATTAGGTATACAAGCATGAAATTTGGCACCCACATTCTTAAGGCGATTTTAAGAGATTTCAGTCGAGTCCCCAAAAAATTCCTCCATAGAGTGGGAAACTGACATCGTAAAATGGCTTATTTCTCAAAAAAAAACCCATTAGGAATATTTTTTGACTTTAAATAAAGTTTACAAAAATTTGACACTTATAGAAAATGGCGTCCGACGACTACAGTAGCTCTTATTCAAGATGGCTGGCAACTTACATAAAAATCTAAGCCAGACAACCAATCATATCTTGTGATACCTCGTTTGCGACTAATTTTCGGTCGAGATATGTGATAAAAGTATCATATATGTTTCCATTTCTTTTTTATGCGCCATCTTTTCAATATGACGACCATAAATTTGATACAGTCTTATGGGGTATCATTTTATTGGTATTTCGACATCTTAAATCCAATTTTGACAACAAAACTAACGTAGGAGCTTCCGTTTTTATTTTGGGGCCATTTTCGAGAATGTCAGCTACCAATTATCTGAATAATGTTAATAGCCCCTCGTACTAGTTTAGGTAAAGTGGTTGTTGATTATAATCTTTGCTATATTTCTCCAATAAAAAATGATAAATAGCTTATTTGCTCTGCCAATAATCCCATTAAATGTCGTCAGAACTCTACATATTTTGCCTTGTCGGAAAAACTTGACCAGTAATAACGATACGATTATTGTCTGCCTGCTGATTATCGAGTGAATATTTTGGACGAAGGAGAAGGAATTGGACCTAATTTATGTGGAAAGAGAGCGAAGTGGTAAAAATCTGTATCCGTTCATACTTCTATATAAGTTTGATAAAATCTTATTACATGTATATTATTTTATAGTACTTATAAAGTTAAACAGTCGTATGCAACATCCTCTTTTAACTTTAAAAGCGACTTTGAATTTCAAAAATTTGTATAACTTAGGATAGAAATATTTAAAAGTAACAAGTATCAAAAAGCGCGTTTAAGTTAAAAGAGTATGTTGCATACGGTTGATGTAAGTTTTGTTTTCTGAAACATTGCAATGTCACCTTGTCAGCTTAAAAATAGCTTATAGAAAATAAAGATTAATTACTTTTATTGATTGAGTAATTATTAATTTGTATCGTGATATGATCTGGAGCAGAACTAGGTGCGTATTGTAACTTCATATCCTACTATATTATAGATTAACGTCCATCTGTATCGCGGTATGATTTGGAGTATACATAAGCGCGTTTCACAGATACAAATCATACTACGTTATCGAATGGCATCCATCTGTATAATGGTATAGAACGTGAATACGCGTCCCGGAAACAAAAATTACCGGCTCTCGAATGTTAGTTGTTTTAATGTGGAAAAGGAGCTCTGTTCTTTGTGCAAATGTGGCAAATCAACACAGGCTCCTTTACGTCACTGCGAGTTTCCGAGACCAATAAAGTGTATGAGCATATCAAAACTTGTGCAGATTTTTTGGGGCATGCAGATTCGTTCGGTTTCTTGTCTCAAGGCGACTTAGTAGCTCAAGAATCTAAATATACATAACAAATTTAAGCGGCTTTCATTCACTAGTAATAAAGATAAAAATGAAGTAATTTGTGAAGGAATTGCTTTTGCAGATCTAGTAATTTATATACAGGAAAAACTTCGACAATCTCAGCAGTATGTCTTTAAAATGGGGGATATCAGAAAAATGTACAGCGATAGATTAGCAGAGCTTCTAGGAGTTCAAAATGCAACTTTCAGTATAATTTGTTACCAAAATTGGTTTAAATTGCTATATTATAATACAGTATGGTTTTAAGTATATTATACATTGAAAGCCGCCAGGAAACTCCTACGTTTGTTTTGTTGTCAAAATTGGATTCAGGATCTCGAAATACCTATACCATAAGCTATAAGTTCAAGACTGTGTCAAATTTATGGTCTCCATATTGAAAAAATTGCGCATAAATGCGAAATGGTAACATGTATGATATCACAAGAAAAGGATTTCTCGACCCAAAATTAGTCGAAATCGAGGTATCACAAGTTATGGTTGGATGTCTGGTTGAGATTTTTATGTAAGTTGGCAGCCATCTTGAATAAGAGCTATAGTGTAGTCGCCGGACGCCATTTTCTATTGGTGCGAAATTTTTGTAAGTTTCATTTAAAGGCAAAGAATATTCCTAATGGGTTTTTTTTTTGAAAAATAAGCCATTTTACTTGATTTTACGATATTTCAAAAAATGAAGTCGGCTATTTTGAAAATATGGCGGAAACTTCCCTCCCCATGGAGGAATTTTTTGGGGACTCGAATGAAATCTCTTAAAATCGCCTTAAGAATGTGGGTACCAGTGGCGTAACTACAGGGAAGGCCTGGGGGAGCCGGGCCCCCCCCAGACGTCGCTAGGCCCCCCCCCAGAAAAAACTTTAATAATTTGGTATTTTATGAAGTGCCACACAAATTTTTGCTGTGAATTCGTGAATTGGTGTTGCTGATATGTATCTACTATACAGTGGCTGATAAGCTGGGTTAGCTAGCTAAGTGATTTAAGCCCGGTTTAGTCAGCTAATCGCCTATAATTGCACTTTTCTACTTTTTTAAAGATTCCAATAAGTCGCAATATTGTCAGGCCAGTGGCTTCATCTACATGGGGGCATTGGGGCATCAGGTGCTCCCATGAGCAACCTCTCATGGGTGCTCGAAGCTCTCGTAGGGAATGCGAAAGTACAAACGTGTATTTAATGGACATTCCGTTCCGTGTGGTAGTATCAGTATCATGTATGTAATTTAAATTTACACAACTTTGTATAAGAATTATACAAGTGGTATTAATCTTAGATTAGGG